TAATAACCCATAGAACCCCAGAACATCCCATAATAACCCATGGAGCCCCATAGAACCCCAGAACATCCCATAATAACCCATGGAGCCCCATAGAACCCCAGAACATCCCATAATAACCCATGGGCCCCAAAGGACCCCAGAACATCCCATAATAACCCATGGAGCCCCATAGAACTCCAGAACATCCCATAATAACCTACAGAAAACCTGAACAGCCCATAATAACCCATGGGTCCCAGAACATCCCATAATAACCCATGGAGCCCCATAGAACCCCGGAACATCCCATAATAACCCATGGAACCCCGGAGCATCCCATAATAACCCACGGATCCCATAGAACCTCACAACATCCCATAATAACCCATGGATCCCCATAGAACCCCAGAACATCCCATAATAACCCACAGAAAACCTGAACATCCCATAATAACCCATGGGCCCCAGAACATCCCATAATGACCTATAGATCCAATGGAACCCCTGGAACATCCCATAATAACCCTCAGGCCCCAGAACATCCCATAATAACCTATGGAGCCCCGGAACATCCCATAATAACCCATGGAGCCCCATAGAACCTCACAGCATCCCATAATAATCCACGGATCCCATAGAACCCCAGAACATCCCATAATAACGCACAGGCCCCAGAGCATCCCATAATAACCCACGGAACACCTGAACATCCCATAATAACCCATGGAGCCCCATAGAACCCCAGAACATCCCATAATAACCCACGGGCCCCATAGAACCCCAAAATACCCCATAGAACCCTGGAACATCCCATCATAGCCCATGGACAACAGAACATCCCATAATAACCCACGGATCCCATAGAACCTCACAGCATCCCATAATAGCCCATGGAGCCCCATAGAACCCCAGAACATCCCATCATAGCCCATGGGCCCCAGAACATCCCATAATAACCCATGGGCCCATAGAACCTCACAGCATCCCATAATAATCCACAGAACCCCAGAACATCCCATAATAACCCACGGACCCCATAGAACCTCACAGCATCCCATAATAACCCATGGAGCCCCATAGAACCCCAGAACATCCCATAATAACCCATGGGTCCCAGAACATCCCATAATAACCCACGGGCCCCAAAGGACCCCGGAACATCCCATAATAACCTGTGACACACCTGTGACACACCCAGTGACACACCCCTGACACACCTGTCCCCACCTGTCCCCACCCATGACACACCCAGTGACACAGCCGGTGACATACCAGTGACAAACCTGTGACACACCCGTGACACACCTGAGCACACCTGACACACCCGTGACACACCTGACACACCTGAGTAGCCAGTGACACACCTGTCCCAACCTGTGACACACCCATGACACACCTGTCCCCACTGGTGACACACCCAGTGACACACCTGAGCACACCTGTCCCAACCCGTGACACACGCAGTGACACACCTGACACACCTGTGACACACCTGAGCACACCTGAGCACACCTGTGACACACCTGACACACCTGGTGACACAGCTGGTGACACACCCATGACACACCCGGTGACACACCTGTGACACACCTGTGACACACCTGAGCACACCTGTGACACCCGTGACACACCTGTGACACACCCGTGAGACACCCATGACACACCTGAGTATCCAGTGACACACCTGTCCCCACCCGTGACACACCTGAGCACACCTGTGACACACCTGACACACCTGTGACATACCCGGTGACACAGCGGTGACACACCTGAGTAGCCGGTGACACACCCATGACACACCCATGACACACCTGTCCTCACCTTGACACACCTGTCCTCACCTGTCCCCACTGGTGACACACCCGGTGACACACCGATGGCACACCCGTCCCCAGTGGTGACACACCTGAGTCCCCACCCATGACACACCTGGTGACACACCCATCCCCAGTGGTGACACACACGGTGACACACCTGTCCCCACCCATGACACACCTGAGTAGCCGGTGAGGTCCATGGCGCGCAGGTTGGAGGCGCGGATGACGGTGACCGTCAGGCGCCCGGCCGTGGGCAGGTAACAGAGAGAGAAATTCACCTCCCCCAGCTCCGCCTTCTCCTGCACGACACCCACAGGTGGGACAGGTGGGACAGGTGGGACAGGTGGGGACATGTGGGACAGGTGGGACAGGGACAGGGACAGGGACAGGGACAGGTGGGGACAGGTGGGACAGGTGAGGGGACAGGGACAGGGACAGGTGAGGACAGGGACAGTGGGACAGGTGAGGGGACAGGGACAGGGACAGGTGAGGACAGGTGGGGACAGGGACAGGTGAGGACAGGTGGGGACAGGTGGGGACAGAGGGACAGGTGGGGACAGGGACAGGGATAGGTGGGACAGGTGGGGACAAGGACAGGTGGGGCAGGGACAGGGACAGGGACAGGTGAGGCACAGATGAGGGGACAGGGACAGGTGAGGACAGGTGGGACAGGGACAGGCGAGCACAGGTAGGGACAGGTGACAACACACAGACAGGAGAACACAGGTGAGGAGGAACAAGGACAGGTGAGGGTGACAGGTGACACAGCGTCACCGCGAGGTCACAACCTGGGGCCAAAGCTCCTCCAGGTGGGACCTCAGGCAGCTCCTCCAGCAGCACCTGCGCCCTCACCTGTCCCCTGACCCTTTTCTGAGGAGTTTTGGGGTCTTTTAGGACCTTTTTGAGGTTCCCCGAGTCCAGAGTCCACTCACCCCCGTCCCCTCCTGGATGTTCCTCAGGTGAACATCTCCAGAAGGTTCTCCAGCACCACCTGTCCCTTCTCATGACCCTTTTACCCATTTTTATGGTGTTTTGGGTTCTTTTAGGATCTTTTTGAGGTTCCCTGACTTCAACGTCCACTCACCCCTGTCCCCTCCTGGACATCCCTCAGGTGGCACCTCAGGTGAACATCTCTAGAAGGTTCTCCAGCACCACCTGTCCCCTCTCACGACCCTTTTCTGTGGAGTTTTGGGTTCTTTTAGGACCTTTTTGAGGTTCCCTGACTTCAGTGTCCACTCACCCCCGTCCCCTCCTGGACATCCCTCAGGTGAACATCTCCAGAAGGTTCTCCAGCACCACCTGTCCCCTCTCACGACCCTTTTTAGTGGAGTTTTGGGGTCTTTTAGGACCTTTTTGAGGTTCCCCAAGTCCAGAGTCCACTCACCCCCATCCCCTCCTGGACGTCCCTCAGGTGAACATCTCTAGAAGGTTCTCCAGCACCACCTGTCCCTTCTCATGACCCTTTTACCCATTTTTATGGTGTTTTGGGTTCTTTTAGGATCTTTTTGAGGTTCCCTGACTTCAACGTCCACTCACCCCTGTCCCCTCCTGGACATCCCTCAGGTGGCACCTCAGGTGAACATCTCTAGAAGGTTCTCCAGCACCACCTGTCCTCCTCACCTATCCTGTGACCATTTTTAGTGGAGTTTTGGGTTCTTTTAGGATCTTTTTGAGGTTCCCCAGGTCCGGAGTCCACTCACCCCCGTCCCCTCCTGGACATCCCTCAGGTGAACATCTCCAGAAGGTTCTCCAGCACCACCTGTCCCCTCTCACGACCCTTTTCTGAGGAGTTTTGGGTTCTTTTAGGACCTTTTTGAGGTTCCCCAACTACAATGTCCGCTCACCCCCGTCCCCTCCTGGATGTTCCTCAGGTGAACATCTCTAGAAGGTTCTCCAGCACCACCAGTCCCTTCTCATGACCTTTTTTACCCATTTTTATGGTGTTTTGGGTTCTTTTAGGACCTTTTTGAAGTTCCCCAACTACAATGTCCACTCACCCCCGCCCCCTCCTGGACGTCCCTCAGGTGAACATCTCTAGAAGGTTCTCCAGCACCACCTGCTCTGTTCCGTGACCCTTTTACCCATTTTTTATGGTGTTTTGGGGTCTTTTAGGACTTTTTTGAGGTTCCCTGAGTCCAGAGTCCACTCACCCCCATCCCCTCCTGGATGTTCCTCAGGTGAACATCTCCAGAAGGTTCTCCAGCACCACCTGCTCTCTTCCTGTGACCCTTTTACCCATTTTTATGGTGTTTTGGGTTCTTTTAGGACCTTTTTGAGGTTCCCCGACTTCAATGTCCACTCACCCCCATCCCCTCCTGGACATCCCTCAGGTGGCACCTCCAGTGGACATCTCTAGAAGGTTCTCCAGCACCACCTGCCCCCTCTCACGACCCTTTTTAGTGGAGTTTTGGGTTCTTTTAGGACCTTTTTGAGGTTCCCCAACTACAATGTCCACTCACCCCCGTCCCCTCCTGGATGTCCCTCCAGATGGGCACCTCCGGCCTGGCCTCGGCCGCCTCCAGCAGATTGTCCAGCACCACCTGCCCGATCAGGTCGTGCCTGGAGAATCGGTCGAAGTCGTAGACGCTGAAGTGCAGCCGCCGCGCCGGCAGCTCGGCGAAGGGCACCCCGAAGCTGAAGGTCTCGTCCCACTCGGGGTTCAGCGTCCGGCGCAGGACCTTGGTCTGGAACTTCTTCTTGCGGTCGGGCAGCAGGTAGATCTTCACGTAGGGGTCGGAGAAGCCGTTGGAGTCCTTGGCCGGGAGGTCGCGGGCGCGGAGGACGCGCACCAGCAGCTGCTGGGAGCCGTAGGAGTAGCGCAGGGAGACGCTGAGGCGGCCGAGGCCAGGCCGGAGGTGCCCATCTGGAGGGACATCCAGGAGGGGACGGGGGTGAGTGGACATTGTAGTTGGGGAACCTCAAAAAGGTCCTAAAAGAACCCAAAACACCATAAAAATGGGTAAAAGGGTCATGAGAAGGGACAGGTGGTGCTGGAGAACCTTCTGGAGATGTTCACTGGAGGTGCCACCTGAGGGATGTCCAGGAGGGGACGGGGGTGAGTGGACATTGTAGTTGGGGAACCTCAAAAAGGTCCTAAAAGAACCCAAAACTCCACTAAAAATGGGTTAAAGGGTCATAGAACAGCGCAGGTGGTGCTGGAGAACCTTCTAGAGATGTTCACCTGAGGGACGTCCAGGAGGGGATGGGGGTGAGTGGACTCTGGACTCAGGGAACCTCAAAAAAGTCCTAAAAGACCCCAAAACACCATAAAAAATGGGTAAAAGGGTCACGGAACAGAGCAGGTGGTGCTGGAGAACCTTCTAGAGATGTTCACCTGAGGGACGTCCAGGAGGGGGCGGGGGTGAGTGGACTCTGGACTCGGGGAACCTCAAAAAGGTCCTAAAAGAACCCAAAACTCCTCAAAAAAGGGTCGTGAGAGGGGACAGGAGGTGCTGGAGAACCTTCTAGAGATGTTCACCTGAGGGATGTCCAGGAGGGGATGGGGGTGAGTGGACTCTGGACTCGGGGAACCTCAAAAAGGTCCTAAAAGAACCCAAAACTCCACTAAAAATGGTCATGGGAGGGGACAGGTGGTGCTGGAGAACCTTCTAGAGATGTTCACTGGAGGTGCCACCTAAGGGATGTCCAGGAGGGTGAGTGGACATTGAAGTCAGGGAACCTCAAAAAGGTCCTAAAAGAACCCAAAACTCCACTAAAAAGGGTTGTGAGAAGGGGCAGGTGGTGCTGGAGAACCTTCTAGAGATGTTCACCTGAGGGATGTCCAGGAGGGGACGGGGGTGAGTGGACATTGAAGTTGGGAAACCTCAAAAAGGTCCTAAAAGAACCCAAAACACCATAAAAATGGGTAAAAGGGTCACAGGAAGGGAGCAGGTGGTGCTGGAGAACCTTCTATGTTCACCTGAGGGACGTCCAGGAGGGGATGGGGGTGAGTGGACTCTGGACTCAGGGAACCTCAAAAAAGTCCTAAAAGACCCCAAAACACCATAAAAAATGGGTAAAAGGGTCACGGAACAGAGCAGGTGGTGCTGGAGAACCTTCTAGAGATGTTCACCTGAGGGATGTCCAGGAGTGGATGGGGGTGAGTGGACTCTGGACTCGGGGAACCTCAAAAAGATCCTAAAAGAACCCAAAACTCCACTAAAAAGGGTCGTGAGAGGGGACAGGAGGTGCTGGAGAACCTTCTAGAGATGTTCACTGGAGGTGCCACCTGAGGGATGTCCAGGAGGGGATGGGGGTGAGTGGACACTGAAGTCAGGGAACCTCAAAAAGGTCCTAAAAGAACCCAAAACACCATAAAAATGGGTAAAAGGGTTACAGGAAGAGAGCAGGTGGTGCTGGAGAACCTTCTAGAGATGTTCTCCTGAGGAACATCCAGGAGGGGACAGGGGTGAGTGGACTCCGAACCTGGGGAACCTCAAAAAGGTCCTAAAAGACCGCAAAACTCCACTAAAAAGGGTCGTGAGAGGGGACAGGAGGTGCTGGAGAACCTTCTGGAGATGTTCACCTGAGGGATGTCCAGGAGGGGACGGGGGTGAGTGGACTCTGGACTCGGGGAACCTCAAAAAGGTCCTAAAAGACCCCAAAACTCCTCAGAAAAGGGTCAGGGGACAGGTGAGGGCGCAGGTGCTGCTGGAGGAGCTGCCTGAGGTCCCACCTGGAGGAGCTTTGGCCCCAGGTTGTGACCTCGCGGTGACGCTGTGTCACCTGTCACCCTCACCTGTCCTTGTTCCTCCTCACCTGTGTTCTCCTGTCTGTGTGTTGTCACCTGTCCCTACCTGTGCTCGCCTGTCCCTGTCCCACCTGTCCTCACCTGTCCCTGTCCCCTCATCTGTGCCTCACCTGTCCCTGTCCCTGTCCCTGCCCCACCTGTCCTTGTCCCCACCTGTCCCACCTATCCCTGTCCCTGTCCCCACCTGTCCCTCTGTCCCCACCTGTCCCCACCTGTCCTCACCTGTCCCTGTGTCCCCACCTGTCCTTGTCCCCACCTGTCCCCTCACCTGTCCCTACCTGTCCCCACTTGTGCCACCTGTCCCACCTATCCCTGTCCCTGTCCCCACCTCTCCC